GGTGTAGGTAGTTTTGATGTGGATAAACATGTAAGTGAATCATTTGAATCTCCCGATGTTGATTCTCGCGATGATGGTGATAATAGTTGTTGTCGCTCTCGTTCTCGTTGACGATCATTCTGAAGTAGCAGTAATTTCTGAGTAATAGAATTGAGATCATCATTACGAGAGGTACCATTTTGTTGTTGTTTGGGTATAGGAAATATAGTTGGAGATAACACAGTGTTATCGCCGTCAAGTATAATTTCTTCAATCTCGTCTTCTTGTTCGAGTAGTGCATCGGATAAACTCCGTTTAATACGTACAGTGGAATATATACTGTTATTTGGTAAAGCAGATGACGAAGAACTAAAATAAACATACAATTAAACAAGTTCTCATTTCTAATAGAGAGATAAGTTACTTTGCTGCTTTGATAGTTTGTTGTTTATATCTATTGGTCAAATAAGAATTGATAGCTTCTAAATCATTTGCAGATGATTTACCAAAGATAATTTGTTGTTCATACGACGAAGATGTAACAGCATTTCCCATACCATTTTGTTGTAGATTTGAAGGAGTTTTTGCTGCTGTTGAACCAGTCATGATTGTAATAAATTTTCCATTAGGTGTTCGAGTTTTTGTTGTGGTGATTTGTGCTTGACCAGTTTGGATTGATGAAGACAAAACATTAGTAGGCTGACTCGGTGAAGAAGAGGTGACAGAAAGTTTGGGTGACATTTGACTAAATGAACAGACAAAATAAGTACCTTCGATGTACTTCTCTCTCGTTTAAACTTACTTTACAGTGGTATTGTTGTTTGTAGGAATTAATTTTGCTAACAAGGATGTTGATGATGGTTTTGTTGAATATATAATTGATGATTTACCACCACTATCCACTTGTATTTTTCTTGGTGATGAAAATATATTCTGATTACTAATTGTTGTTGCTAATAATTCTCGTGGAAATTCACAAAATGTTTTAGTTGTTTCACAATAACATTGCACCGTATCAATTACTTGTTTGAAAAATATATCCGAATAAAAATTACTAATATCTCCGTAAGATTCATTGCCAATACGGATTCGAGTGCCAGCTGGTTTAGATGGTGTTAAAATTGTTGAACATGCATCCTGATCATCACATGATTCGTCGTCTAAACAGAAAAAATCATGAATCGTTGTATGTTCAGTATATACCTGATCAAACTAACTTGTTTTTGTGTCTGACGTGCTTAATAGTACACTTCTCAGTACATGTTCTTCTGCTCCTGGTAAACCTTTATAAAATATTTTGGTCAATTCTGCCCACGTTAGTGATTTTGATTGTTCCGTGTAATCAACATTTATTTTTCCATTCGATGAAGCATAAGAATGTTCGGATATTGATTTTGATTTTGTCAATGGTACACGCATTTCTTTTGACGTTAAATATATGCAACAAATGAGTATTTGATCTAAATGTCTTGAACGTAAAAGCTGAATATGCTTATAAAAAACAGATAGAAATATATTCCAAACGATTTTGAGAAATAATGGTGAGGCATTGAGACGTTGACAGAGCGTATGAAGACGAATGGAAACGAATGTATATAATTTGCGATAAAACATAAGATATGGACCATTTTTCTTTTGTGTGGAAGGTGATGGTGGTAGTAGCCAATCATTCATATTATCGGATTTTGAACGTTTAGTTAATGAACGAAATGACAATGAATCAGCAGACTAAAACAATGATTATGAATGATAAATGTGTACAATTAATGGTTTTAGAGACAGAGCTCTTAGAGTGCATCATACTACTTGACTACGTTAGTGTGTTGAATACCACTACTATTTTTTATTTCTTACAGTTATTAGATCGGAAATCGATTGTCTCTGTGTCTGTGTTGCTGCTGTATTATCATTAAACAGCTGTCGACATACTTTATTAGCTGCTTTTTGTGAAATGGGTGAATTGGTCACATATAAACCGGTTGCATGTGTTGGTGTAGTTGTCTGTGGATTAATAATAACAGTTTGCTGACGTTTTTTAACATTATCATATATTAAAATACCTAAACAACAACAACAACAACATCATCCTTATCCTACAATAACACATAATCAAGAATACTGACCTCGTTTATCAATTTCATTCCATATTTGTGATTTATCTGCCCAAGCCATATGTAAAATTAACTCTTCTTCCATTGAGTTTAAATGTTTAATAAATTCACGTGAATTTCGAATCGGTTTTATGGCTTGAATAAATATTTCAATAATTTTAACAAACAAAAACGAATCTAACTGATATAGATTCAAAATCCATTTGTAATCATGTTGTTTATCGTGATATGAACGCAAGATAAGATCCAAACATAGAGCAAATAGAGATTTAATAAATTCATCTTTCATTAATAATTTGTTACATGCTTCTGTACATGATACTTGTTCGTTTAGACCATGATTTTGTTGTAAATGTTTACGTTCAGCAGTGAGAATTTCATCGAGACAATGGTAGAAGAGCTTTATTGACATATCCATACGACCTTTCGACCATCGACATCGTTCTTCTAACTGATGTTGTTGTTCGTCGGTATTTTCATCACTGCTACTACTACCACTATCTGTGTCATGATTTAGAGTTTGTGGTTGTAGCGATTTTGCATATTCTTGATAAAATAATTGTTTCCACTCGCTCACACGTTGAACTAAACTATCTAAAAGAATAATATTAAGTGAATATAATATAGAAATAGCAAAAAATGTATTAAAAGTATTAAGTAAAATAGCAACTGACGTGAGTAAAATATGAATGAAAAATATTATTTCATTTGTATTAAACAAACCCTTAGTAATGATTTGAAGCAAGAATATGGAAACAGTCAACTAAGAATTTGTTACTGCAAGCTTATGCGTCAGGTTAGAGCGAGCAAATTTGAAACTTTGAGCATATAACCTTTAAATTGCATGAGATACGATACCTAGCTATAGGAAGAAAACAACGACAGTCCTACCTAAATGTACTTGATTTTTAATTATTTGTTGTAAATTTGTACTTGGTTCGGCACTTATCAAATTTCCAATTATTTGTGCTATATGAGCTAACATTTGATTAGCTATTGATATTGGTGTTGCATATCCATCGATGCCTAGTACATATCGGCTACGATTTGTTAATGGTGTCTTGGGTTTTAAACACGTACGATTTTCATTTAGAGATGTTACCAAATCATACAACGGTGTTAAACCACTACCATTTTGATCAGTAGTGAAAAATATTCGTTCATCAATAACGCACCGTGTTAAAACAATTTCATCGTAATAGCGATTAATTTCTCTAAGATTTGCTTGAAAATGCTCAATTGGATGTAACAGTGAAGTATATGTCGTCATATCACCCTTCAGACGACTTTTGATCAATAAACGCTTTAAATAAGTTTTTAGATAGTGTTCATAGATTGTACGACAATCTTCAGCACGACCGCTGTAACGTGAACATAACTCATCAATAACTGACGATGAATATCCATGAACTGATGTTTCATTCTCACCATTATCAGTATGTGGCGAAATATATGTACCTACAGGAGCAAAACTTCATAAACTAATGAAAATTTTTAGTAAAGACTATTTAGTGTCAACGCTCACCTTTCAACAGATGATTTAATTTTGATTGTATTACATTCATATAAAACAGATCCATACAAGCCACTAATAAATGATAGGCACTCACTAAATCATTGGCTATAGCGGGAAATTTTGATTTTGTTAAAGAAAATAGACTCCAACAGAGGATGTACAAATCATGTTGTGTGATGTGCGATTGTTGACTACGTTTATTTTTTAATAATTTTGGATTAAGTTCACCACCACTTTTGGCTGTATTTGTCACTTGACCGTATAGATGTGTAAACATTTGTATATATTTCTGATAAACAATTGATACAATCTCAAATGAGTTTCCTAACTGGCCTATCGACAAAAAGATACGTAGTACATTATTTCGTGGCTATTACAAGCTCATAAATTATCATTTCTTACCTATTTTTTTTCTTAATATTTCGGGTAAATTTGCCATATCTTGCCATTTACGTAATTTATCAAAAAAAACGATTAATTGCAGATTGTTAGCTGATTTTAATAGACGATCTAACGATATAGAATTGCATGTTTCTGTTCCTGTGCCACTAATGGTCGGTATAGTTGTTGTACGGCAAGCAACGTAGAGCGAACAAGCCAGCCAGTGTAATTGATCTCCTTCTAATACGTAATGTCGACGAATATGCATGTAGGATAACCAAGCCTCCTTAGTTGTTTCAATGTCCATATTAAGATCCCGACACATTGATTCATACTCAGTACGAATTGTCTCCAAATCCATGGAAGAAGCACAACTGGAAGATAATAGTGGAGGTTGCTCAACTGATACAGTTGGCATTATTATTTCTTCCTGTCTAAGAAAAAAGTAATATTAGTAATCATACGGCAAGTAAAATTATCTAAGTTGAGCTGGTGTATTCAAAGAGTTTGAATGAATTATTTGCATCAAACGGTGATGATTAACGTATCCATTAGGTCACCTTCACCCTCACCCTGGATATTTAGATATTTAGAGATTTGACTGTTGAAAGATATACTGAATAGTTATCGTTACTTGTGACTGGTCATTATCGTTACTTGTACGGTAACTGCTTGCCCGTTACCGTTACCAAGAACGTCAACTGTTCAGCAGTTACAGTTACCGAGTAACGGTGGTAACAGTAACTGGTAACTGTCACAGCCCTAAACTATAGTCGATTGAATTCACTCTTATTTTAAAACGGTGTTTAAGTCTACAGAGTGATGTAATTATTAGTATATTGATTAATGTTTACAGAGTGTATTCTTCACACGGATGATGTAAAATATTAGACGAAAAAATAAGGTGTGTAATATTGAAGTACCCTCCTCCTACTGAGAGTCATAAAACTCTACCTAATGAATAATCATGCGTGTGTTTTACTCTTAAAATTATTCAATTTGATGAGAGATTAAATACTTATAATATCTTGGACGAACCGCCAAGCGATTTTGCCGATGTTTTTCCTGATGTTAAATATATTGTAAAAAGAATTGCATTCAATAATTATCCGTTCATAAATAATTCTGAGTATGATGTATTAAAAATATACTTAGACTGCACTAGCGATTTTAGTGGATGGAGATGCTTGACATTTATTTTGAATGAATAATTATTGAATGCAACTCTTTTGCTATGTATGATGAATTTGTATTATGAATTTCTTTTGCTATGTACATTAGGAAAAACACCTGCAAAAAATCGACCGAATGAAATTGCTTAGCGGTTCGTCTATCTTATTCATAATGGCATATAGATTGAAAAACAAACTGTATTGTCCTATCAACAAATTTATAAACTAGATTGCAATTGTGCTGTGCACAACTTGCGATGTCGACGGACTCTGTTCCCCAAAAAATGGTCAATTTAGATAGCAAATTTCCAGTGCGTTTTAAAATTGTTCTTTCTATAAATAAATTTCTCCAAAATACATGGCATCAGACAAAGAAAATCTTTTATATATTTTTAAGTCCAAAACATATTTTTCTTTCACTTGTGTAGCTTATGGTTCTGAATATAGACTTTTATTTGAAAAAAGAGCATGCACTGGTCAATATTCAGTACCAGAGAATGTCCTCCTATTTTCAGAAGTTTTCTACGTGGTGTGGTGTAGTTCTGTAGATCACGTCGTGCACATTTTGTAAAAAAGATTAATAGACCAAAAACAAAGAAAACACAAAATTCCTGCAAAACCTTATAATGTCTACCGACATAATATTCTTACAAGGTTAAGACATGAAAGCTGAAGGATTTGTAGCGCAAAAAAGTCAAAAAAGATTTGGTTCAATTTTATTGTTTTATTTTATTTTGTGTAGTCAGTCAGAGACTAAAATGAGTAAGCAGAGATCAACCCGAAAGACCCATCAAGTTTTGCTCAATTATGTTGATTTCAATACCTCATGAACACGCATAGTACCGGATAACTCTTAGAGCAATACTCCTAGAATGGGGTTAGAGGAATAATACTGTACGGTAACGAGATTGTATTAGTTAGTATCCTGTATGATATTGTACAAGAAATTTTTAAAGGACTTACGAATAAAACTCCTACCACTTTTGGTACTTGCTAATTTCCTTAAATCTGTGATACTCGAGAGTAGAGATGCACCGGTTACGGTTATAACCGAACAACCGGTATCGGTTATAACCGGTTATCGGTTGTAACCCATACCGGTTACAACCGCTCATCGGTTACAACCGGTATCGGCTACAACCGCTCATCGGTTAACCGGTATCGATTACAACCGCTCATCGGTTAACCGTAACCGGTGCATCTCTACTCGAGAGAAAACCGCTAAAAAACTTGAATCAACTTCTCGCTTGCTTCACAAAACAGTGTCAAAATGAGAAAACTTACTTGACAAACATTTGTTTTATTTCTGTTATCATTCGTGAATATGGATGATATGTGAGGGGTGAAATATTGCCTTGTTCTGTGTATATGTTCAAGTTCAATGACTATTCACAACACTGACTGGACATATTCTTCTTCATTTCACCTTGAGAATATATATGAACAATCAGTTGCGTGATGGAAAAAGAACTATATAAGAGTAGGTCATCTAAAAAAGTTAAAGAATGAATAAAAGAACGATGTATGGAATGAGGAGAGGTCACTGATAGTGAACAGAGTGAGAGACACATTTCTGTTTGATGGATCGAATAAAACAATGCATTACACAACGGTGAATGAGATCAAATCAGAGACATAAATAGATGTAATTTACTCGTCTACAGATGAAGAATTGATAGTGTAGTGAATGGGAAAAACTTTATGATCTTGATTTAATCTAATTAACTAACGTGTTTAATTGTCTTCGGTATATAGATTAACCACAATGATTTTCGCTCTGTACTGCTGTTCTAGCTTAAACTGAACCTCTGAACGAACTGCCAAGTACTATGAGAAACAATCAGTTCATCATGAAATATTTCTGCTGAATTTATCACGTTTCACTCAAAAAACTTCACACTTTCTAGTGTAGGTGATAAAAAATACACGTACTTATGTGTGAGCATCATAACTAGAGCAGATGTCGTCATTCGAATGATGCATATATCGTACGATTGACGTCATCTAAACATATGCTCGGTCAATCTTTTTAATTACATTACATTGATCTTTTGAAGCAATACATTAGACAGTAGAATATTTTGCCGTCATCCATTGAATAAATGAAAGATCATCATCTCATGATTTTTTTGAAATATGAGACCAGTGTTGAGAAAAGACGAGTGGATTGAGCGAGAACAAAGTAGATTTCTGGCCTGAAAGCTTGGTTTCTATTCTATTTTTAGCATAAGAAACTATTCTCAAATCACTCAGCCATACTGTGGAGCTTGTTTACAGAGAATTTGGCTAAAACAAACACAGACAACAGCGAATTATCAACAAAATTTTGCGTAGAAAATGATAGTTATAGTCAGTGATTTTAATAGGAATATTTTTCAGAGTGGAACTTTCCACTTTGATATGAAATATAAAGTGGACAGAATGGGAACAGTTGAAATTTCTGTCTAATAGCGTTAGCGTCTAAAAGAGATTTTGTTTATACTAGTACAGGTTTCGTTTTATCACTTCCAGTTAAATGGACCAAAATTAATTTCTCTACCCTGATCAATTACAAATTTAACAACAAACATTTTAGATGACTCATCTAAAACAAAATGTAACTGGAAGAATAGCTGTAAGTTGAACACTTCTGAAGAAAAAGAAACGAAGCAAAACTTTTATACGTTTAGATAGAAGTCACAAATCCTTTTTGACTAATATCCTGTTGATGTTAATCTTCAGACACTAGCCATGTCGTATTGCGATGAAAATTGGAGCACTAAACAGAATTTATACTAATTCTCTCGCTCACATGTGTTCAACAAACAGAGATTCATGGGGTTAGTTTTCTGAGTAGTGTGGAGACTGACGGATTGTTGTACGAATAAAAAATGCAATCATTACCGGATGCATGTATGTTAGGTAAAATTTGCCCAATGAAATTCACTGGGTGAATCTATTAAATTAAATAGAGTTTTTAAATAAATCGCCGCCATTTCGGCAAAATTGATTTATATCAAAAACTACTTTTCAGAAAAAAACAAAAACGCCAAAACTTTTCTAATTAAAAGCTTTATTTATCACCCAGTAAATTTTATTTTACCTAACATATATTCAAAGTGCATAATCTGTTATAGAAGGGATCCGTCATTTAGCGTCAGTCCACATACCAGAGGCAGAAAATATGAAAAAACGATAAAGTGGAAGTTCTCAGAATCAAAGTGGGATATACTTTTCTTAGTGTGGAAACAGAATGGAAATTGATTATTCAAAGTGGAAATCCATTTTGCTTCCACTAAGTTATAGTCTAAGTACGTTTCATGTGAACCGTTAGCTTATCGCATGACTGTATCTGATAGAAGCTTGCCGTTATAATGCATTGGTACCATTGTTCGCTCAAATTTTAGCAGAAACTGGCTGCACTGGTAATTACAGAATGTAGGAATACAATAGCTTCTACCGTAATCGATTGGTAAAACTCATCTTGTCTAAAAAGTTCCCATTAGAAACACTAGAAAAGTGTGGATATACCACTACACTCTGCTATATTTTTTTCGTACATAAATAGTTACTTGCGAAAAAGCTGAATATGGTTTTCACGATTAATATATCTCAATTAGAAATAGGAAAAAACTATGTGTCAATTGCAGAACAGCTTAAGGTTCATAGTGTAAAAGATCAGCTTATGACTCAGACAAATGGGGAGGGGATAGTGTTAATAGTATTTCTGTTCCTGCTATTCGTGAAAATTTATGAATCAGGTTCTTCCATCATTAAAGTGAAACTCAGAATAAACTTATGGCAATACTTAGACGAAGTAAAGATTAAAATAAGGAACTGCATGTTGATTTTCTTGAACTCACAATGCGCAGCAAAAATCACTTTTTCAGATAAAAAAGGAGTTTACAGAAGATGGTGTACTTCAATAATATTTTTTCATGAAAAGTAAATGCGCGAGTCGCTCTTTTCGCGACTCTCTCATTTGATTTAAAGAAAGTCAGATTTATTTTCATTCGTTGATTGCTGCCATTAAGCAATTTGTATAGCCCACAAATCATTGAAGCATAGTTGCTTTTAGATGTTTCTTAGCCTTGTAAAAGAGGGGTGCAATATGAACATTTTCAATGTTAAAGTAAATTTAATCGGTAGTAGAACCTTACAGAAAAAAGTTATTAGAATGCAGCACCCTCTATTTTGTCTTTTAGTGTTGTCAACTCTTGCATTCATTGCTTTTCTTTCCTCTATTTATTGCTGATATTTATCTTCCCTTCTGGACTAGTTCTATTATAATTATTTTCATGTAAAATAGAATTTTTGTTAAGATTCAAAGACTGTATCGCCAACACCAGGTCTTCTGAAAAGGTATGCGTGGTAACATAGTTGGTAGTATTCATATAATCCATTGCTTTTTTTTTTAAGAAAGGTTTTTATTTTCTATGGGAAATTTTTTGTCGTTTTCTTTGAACAGTTTTTCTAAATTTCTCACAATAGGTCTTTCCAAAAATGCAAAAATCTTCAAGCTTATCGACTATATACAACTTAATCCTAACATGCCTTTTTTCGCGGTTTTTTTCTTCATAGTGGTATACGTCTGCACGACTTTGGGTTAAACGACAGGACCGCGATTCGCAAGTGGATGGGTGACCGCCATTGAAGATTGAATCACCGAATTACTTCGTTGATGTCGGACGTATATATTCTCAATTGCGCTGAGAGAAAAGTTATAGAAAGACAGTCTCGTGGATTGCGCGCTAGAAAGAGGCAGTTCAAATTTGCAAGGCTTGACCTTTTTTGTAACGAAAAAGCGTTTGTAAAACAAAAATTTATTTAACTAAAATAGAGTTGACAGCAGAATGTGAACCTGAAGGATTTTGTCTTTTTTTTTCCTGATTTTTATAGAAATCAATACAATTTCACAGCAGTCTTTTTACACAAAAGTTTTGGGTCCAACAATGACGACAAAAACGAACCATTTGATCATCTGTCTGTCTCAAAAGTGACTTTTCTAATACCAGGCGGCTGGTAAGTCTTGATATTTATGAAAACGGCTGTCTACCAGGAATATAGAGGGCTCTGAACAGCCTGACGCTCTGCTTGTTGTACCAACCAATCTTGATTGAAAATCGTTTATATTTCATATGAAACAGATAATGTTAAAACGTTAATTTATTCAATGTCTCCAGAATAAAATTAAAATGAACGTTGCACGAACTCAAAAGATCAAGTTATTTACCAAATGATTGATTCAAACTATCTGTCATTATTGACGAATACGAACTTGTAAAATCTAGTGGAGAGGATGTTGCATACCTAAAAGTTCAAGAATGAGTTAAACTTAAGTTGTGTTTTTGTTGGCGATCATACAAGCGGATGTCATCATTAGGTTATTGTCGGTACTTCGGTACTGGTACTGTTTTCGCGCAGTACCGAAAATTTCGGTTCGGTACCCTGTTAGATATCGAATCGTTCGGTACTTTCGGTTCAGTACCAGGGAAAGTACCGATAAGTTCGATACTTACGAAAAAAATTAAGGGACGAGAATCTTCGCGATTTAAGGAAAAAAATGCTTCTTGTGAGTTCAAAAATAGATTTTGATAATGAAAAAACTTCGACACTTTCGGTACGGTTTCAATGGTTGGTACCGGTACCGACAATTACCTAATCATCATTTCAAAAGCGGAAGAAGATAAAGTATTTACTCTGAATTTAGATGATCTGAGAACGCTCTGATACATTTTCTCGTGAGTACAATTCCTTACTGTTGAATATCTGTGAGTGGTATCGGCCTTGAATAATCTTGCCATGGCGGATTACTAAAATTGCTCGACGTTGATGGTGTACTGGAGAAAGCGGTCGTCATTGAATCAGCATTGAGATTTGTTGATGTTATAGGAGTCCATTGTAAACTTGAATGCAATGGGTGCATTGGTGTGCTCCACGATGAATGATAATAAGGATAATGATAGTAATAGCCACTAGCAACAGGATCAATTGGTGGAGGAGGATAATTTTCTATGTTCTCGTAGGTTGGTATATGCTCCTTGAAAAGATATGCTTTTATTTCAACAAAATGAATACTTTTACTTCTGAGCCAAACATACCAGTGGTTTTATTTCATTTTTTCGCGTTGTTTTACATTTTTGTTGTCTTTTAAAACGAGATCTTCGATTTTGAAACCAGATCTGAACGAAATGATAATTAGAAAGGTGAGCGACAAGATTATTTTTGAATAGTACTGATATTTTTTCATGTTGAACATTCAGTAATTCGGCTAATTGATCTACTATCGTCACTTCTGGATAATGAGTTCTTTTAAATGCTGTTTCCAATGTCTGAAGCTTTAAAAAGAAAAGCAGACGCATGAATAGAAACACTTTACTTTGAGCAATTACTTGTTGAGCGGTATATTGAATTCGAGATCGTTTTCGAAATGTAAATGATTTTGATTGAGAAATGTCTGACTTATTGGATAAACATGTTGAGTCGGATTCTGAAATATGAAAAATAAAGTGAAACAACTCTTGGATTTTCTGTTTCATGCGTCGATAGTATACCTTTTCCATTATCATCTTGTTGAATTGAGGGCGTTGGTGGCGTTGGAGTACGAGAAATGAAACCAGAATCCGTTAATTTATTTTGCCCTTTTGGTGTGATAAAAGCTAAAAAAATAAATTCCGTGCTGTCGTTCAATATTTGTTTTGAAAAAAATATCTTCTATGCTTACATGACAAATTGAGATCATTGTAATCGTAAGCAAAATGTTGATAATCGGACATTGTTTTAGCTCAAAATAAATCTCAAAATGAACGTTAATAATTTGTTTTAATTGATATTTTATACTATCGATAATGGACAATATGGTGCATATATGATCATTATTGTTTATTTTTTATCTTTAAAATAATTCCGTATTTTTTGTTTTCCATCTGATGACATTCGTCTATTTAAACATCATATAACACAGTCAAAATTGTGAACGGTAGATGTTGATATAATAGTAACCAATGAGATACAAGTAAGAAAGAAAGAAGTGAGAAATCAGTAACAGCTTTATGAAAATGATGAAGCAACAGCTCAAATTTTCAAATAATTATCTAATGTCTACTTTTATAATCGAAAAAAGAACTGACTGTAAGAGAATGATCATCGCTCTCCTACACGGGGCTACTTTTTGTTCGATCAAATAACAGTCATGAAAACTGTATACTTTCGATTTCTATTGGGAAGCTGAGCTATGACTAAGTTTTCTTATCCTATATATGTCTTTAACAGGCTATATTCTGCTGTCTAATGTTTGTTGTTAAACTATTTAACGAAATTTTGGCTGTATTTCTCGCATTTTGTGACCGTTTATAGACGGTATTGTCTCTATTACATCTTATTGTGTCAAAGTCATTCACCACTATTTCATTTCGCTTTTTACTGGTATATTTACCGCACTGTTTTTTGTGAAACTTGAACATGTCTACTAGTAAAATTTGGTGATCAAAACACATTTTTGTCTAATCAAACGTTCATCTAATCAATAAACAAAAAACAAAGAGTAACAAATTATTTTCTAAAAAGTACTCCGGCTAGAATCATTTAAAGCAATTAGTTTTTAATGCTTTCATTTTACCATTTATACAACAGGTATACATTGGTCGTCCCTCTATTTAGCAACAATAATCAAAGAAAAAATAAAAGCTAAAAATAGACAATTGTACTGCATAATCCACAACTAGTACGACGATAGATACGACGAGATGAAATGGACAAAACAATTCAAAACAATTGAGTAACGTGTAAAAATAGCAATGGTTCCTTAGCAAATTCATGCGAAAGGCACATACAATCATGCCTGAATTGTTTGAATACTATGGACAACCCAAATCAATGAGGATGTACTTTAGAAATGCATAACGAAAGAGCATTCATTAAACATCTGGAACATGGCAGACAAAGTAAGTAGTGACTATATGTTAAAAGATGGCTAACAAAAACCGCATGCTATGTAGACAAACTTTTTTCCTTCATTCACCAGTGATAAGCGTTCTATGAAAATATTAAAAGCTTGTAAAAACAAAACCTAGTGCTTTGGTCTAAAGCTGGGACTTAGATTCAATTGCTTACTGTGCTCTGAAATTCTATAGAATAAAGTTGTTACACATACACACACACACACACACACACACACACACACATTTGAACATGTAGATAAATAATTGAAGTTTGGCTAGGCAAAGTAGTTCATGGTTCTTAGGAATGATACTCTAAATAGAGTACTACAGACAGAAAAAGGCAAAAATTAGAAAACTTTGTATGCCTTCACTAAAATATATATTCATTTAGAAAAAATGACTTGATTAAATTATGACGAAACAATTTTTCTGATTTTATAGTGACATCAACAAGATTTTCAGGAATTAATTTTTTTAAATGGATGTCGAACAATATTTTCATTGCCGTCTCCTCCACTGCCTGATCAAATAACAGATATAGAACTGTTCATTTTCAGTTCTAAGAAAAACTTAAATTTCTTAAACATTTAAACCCTTCGATATTCTTTTTCTCGAGATTGAAACGAAAGTCAAAATATTCTATTTTATTACAATTACAAGTAATTGTGCTAAATATGAATGAGCCTCTTGTTTTCTTCAACTTTTCTAACAATAATCATCTTTTTATTTATGTGACAGATAAGTTTTTTGTTGAATAAAAGAAAACAGTTTAACATGTTTTCCCTAAACAAAATGTTAACACATCTTCTCGTTTGTTTGCTAACATTTTAACAATTAATTGTTTCTATAATATTAGGCTTGTATTATTGAATTGAAAATGTTTTACATAAGTAGAGTTGGTCAGCCGATTAAGAAATACCAGCTGTCACTGACCTTTTTAATCGATGATCATTCCTCAATTTGAAATTTTTTCCAAAAAATGATCGTACGAAAACACGAGTATCGCCAGTTCACGTAATTTTCCTTTTTATGAACATGTTACTAATGATTAAACTGTTTATCACAGTATTAAACACGGTTTGATTCATTCAACTATTTGTTGTATTTTCACAGTTTCATACATTTATGTAGACCTGTTTATTATTTTTAATTAGCGTGAACATTTTAGAAGAATATAACTCGATAATAATGATTTTATTCAGTTCCATTTATCTCCATCTAAGGAACAAGGATTTTTTAGAGAACGGAATTAGGGCTAAAAAGAGAACAGTTGCCTATTTATAGTCAGATTTGGAGTGATTAGAGAACGGTCAGAATTATAAAACGAAAAAACCGAAAAGAGAACAAAATTAGTGCTGAAATGAGAACGGTTCAGAATTCTGAGTTCAAAGGACTGAAAAGAGAACGGTCACATATTCGAATAGTGAATTATTATCTATATCTGTGACCTGTGTTATTATATTAATTTATTTACTCTAAATAATTACCTGCAAAAAAATGCAGATATAGACGATATTTCAAAAAAGTAGAGCAGGACTAGACTTGTTTGATCTACCACATTTTTTGGTCCTAAAGGCATACAACCTTTTGAGATTACGTGATAGCCAAAAGCGATTATAAGTCTAACTGTATGTTTATAAACGTATTCCTTGCAAAAGAATCTGCACGAACAAAAGTTTTATTGAACCGAAACTATGTGAGCAGATTCATACCATATCTTAAAATGATTGAATAACGAAAATGCATTGCTACCAAAACAATTAATGGATGTGATGTAGGAACAGCCGTTTCAAAAATATTTCATGGAATTGGAGTTGCATATTTGATAACACCTTGAGACCATTTTAGTGTATATTTGTTACCATTAGTACTTGATTCACTTCGAAATCCAGATACTTTGTTTTCTGATATTACTGCATTAAGTTCAGTTTCCATATTACAAATTCGCAGTGGTAGCCAGTGTCTGCGCATCATTTTGTTTAGAATATGATTCTTTTACTGTTCCCATATCGATGTGTAAATATGAAGAAGCGTGCGTATGAGAAATTCTACTTTAGAACTCTACACATACAGTGAAAAAATATCTTTCAATGGCGTTCTCTTCTTAGTCTTCTGCAAAAAAAATTCGAAAACCGTTCTCTTTTCAGTCCCGTTCTCTAAATCGTGTAAAAATTTAATAATTCGCACTCCGTTCTCCATTCAGTCCAAACTCCGTTCTCTTTTCATACTTTTTCCCCATCTAAGAGATAGAGCGATGAATTCCCATCTATCCTTTTGTACTAAAGTAAACAATTTTCTTGAATGTTGCTTTAGAACTATAGTTCAAAAGGTCTCAAGTATTTTAAAAGAAAATTTTTAGCATGTCAGTTTGACTCCCTCTATATCAGTTGTGCAGAAAGAGATTTCTCGGTTCGAATGAGATTTGATTCCGTTAAACCTGATAGTAGAAAGCATGTTTTTTCCTTGCGATTATTTTTTTCCTTCTTGTTACTTATTATTGTTGTTGAAAAAATGAACGAATTATAGAAAGAGATTTCGATATGAATCTTCTTTGGATGTTTTTACAATTTAATACGCTTGAGAACCAACTTTTCCTTTCCTAACTAACTACATCTGATTAATTGTGTCTACTAATATGCTATGCACCAACCATTTTGTGCGGGCAACAGATAAAACATACATCTAACACTTTAACAGAAGCGTGCTTTTTCTCTAGTTTTTTAGTATACAAACGGGTATGTAGAATCCGAATGAAATCAGGGATATCTGAAAGTGGTAGTATTTGCTACCATTCTGTTAGGATCTATAATAAACCTAGGCGAAGGCTTAGCAGGGTCCTAACATTTAAGATGGTGCTAAAAGCAAGAAAATCCTAAAGGTCAAAATCGTATAGGATTGTGGTAGAAAACGTATGGGATTTTGTCTAAAAATTCTCTTTGTCCCAGTTTTGTGTATGTACATCGATAAACTCGAACGAACAATAATTACCACATTTGATACTTATGATTTACAAAACGAATGTAAAAGTACTAGATGTATGTTGTATCTGTTGCCCGCACAAAATGGCTGCCCTAGTGAAACTTCTTGTAACCAGCATCTTGACTTCTTGAAGTTTTTCGGTAAGATCTTGATTCAAGGTCTTGGTAAGAAAATATAAGAATTCAAAAAATTTCAAGAAGTGAAGATCTTGGCTTACTTACTCAAGATCTTGGTCAAGATCTTGTGTTCAGAAATGTCAGGATCTTGAGTGGGGTAAGCCAAGATGTTTCAAGATCTTGGATTCTTGAACCTGTCACTCACGATTTTGGGGAAGAGCTTGGGTTAAGAAATTTCAAGATCTTGAGTGAAGCCACTCAAGATGCTGCAAGAGCGAGAGTGACAAATTTTCTTTACATTTTGTTTTTATTTATGACAGTAGTAGCCACTGGATATACGACCATATAGAGTGGTAGATTCTCCGTCAAGAGACCGATTCGAGAGACCGAGTAAGAAAATATAAGAATTCAAAAAATTTCAGGAAGTGAAGATCTTGAACATCTTGTAATTTCTTGACTTCTTGTACCAAGATCTTGAAAATTCTTGAATCATGGTTTTGTTTTACACTCTTGTGTAAATATAAGTGCGAATATTTTCACACTTAGAATAACTTCGAATTTTTACCCTTCTTGACCATAGTTGTTTGACGAAGAATCTACCACTCTATATGGTCGTATATCCAGTGGCTACTACTGTCATAAATAAAAACAAAATGTAAAGAAAATTTG